ATAAAAAATGTAAATATATTATAAGTTGAGGAACTAAAAATGTATATATTTAAATAAATTTAATAAAAAAATAATTTTTTATAATCAAGGGAATAAAAAATCACAAAAAAATTAAGAGACAAAACTATGTAAAATCTTAAAACTAAAAGACTAGAATTGATATTCAACCTATTAATAAACTTGGAATTAAGTTCCCATGAGCAGCAAACACTACTCTCTTGAAAAATTGATCTTTAGTGATATTCTATAATTAGAGACTTATTTTAAATTTCTTTAAAAAAAAAAAAACTACAATTGTGAATTCATTATCCTTCTTTAACAAACAATAAGCCCTTTTAGACGAAAAATCTCCCTTTTTAACCAAATTCATCCATCGTCTACATTTCTAAATACTGACAATGCAAAATGCAATGTTATACTATATAATTTCTAAAAGCAAGTAATAGAAACTAAAATGTCCAGTACTTGGCAGCTTACTGATCCCTCCTTGCAAGATGTGCTTAGGATTATCAGAACCTAGATTCTAATCTCAGGTCCTCTTTTCCTTTTCCTCGAAAAAATTTCTCATTGTTCAAAAAAAAAAAAAGTAATAGAAACTAAAATAATCACCTTCAATATGTATTCCACCATTGCAAATCAAAATTCCGACATCAACTACCCATCGAATCTAAACTACCACACTCAATGATTTCGGCAGTGGTCCAGTCATATTGTTATGCTCATCCACTTGAAGTATTGTTAAATTAGGCAGATGACCAAGCTTAGCCGGTAACATCATTCACCCTGTAAGCATTTTTTGGAGGTTTCAGACAATTGGATGAGTTTAGAAGAATACCAATATGACTCACAAGAGTTTCAAATTACTAAGGTTGCTTATCCTCTTTGGTATGCTGCCACTGATATTATTCGAAATAAAATTCTTGATAAAAACAGTAAGTAACAAGAACAAGCTATTGTCAAAAGGGCTTAATTTTCTACAAGAATTTAAGACTTGGGTCCACTAAGCGAATTGTTGGAAAGAATTCTGCCCAAGAAAATAATAACAACGAATCACTTTCATGAGATCAATGGGAAAGACAACAAGGCAGTAACTACTACTGTTTGGGCAGCTTCGCGATCCAACACTGTTGAAACTCTCAGCTGCTTCCACACCTGAAAATCCCGAGGTTGTTTCCTCGGGGAAAACACTCCAACGCTCAAGTCAGCAATACTTGATATTTTAGAGAGAGAAACTCTCAAGGAGTAATTGCAGAGAGAGAAGCGTAGAGATTAATTACCTTCTTCGGAGGTGGTTGGGGAGTATTTATAGCCCCAAGTGCTGACATGTATCTGCACATGTAAGCCTCTCTTTGGCTCACGTGGTGCTGCCCACGTGGGTATGTCTCCTCCTCTTGGGCCTGTGGGTGCGTAATTGGGCCTGCTGCCTGTGGCCCTAAGAGGGCGTTGGGCCTAATCCCAACATTACTCCCCCCTCGGTGTTCGGTTGACGAACTGGGTTGGGAGTCTTGTTAGCACGGTGTTTGACCCTGAGGATGAGGAGTGATGTTTTATGTTCATGTCTGCCCTCATGCACGATCGATCTAGGCGGCCTGAAGCCATCGCGGCCAAGTCTGTTGTGCATGTGTATGCCGGCTTCCTATCAAGCAGGCGTGGGGGAGCTGGTGTTAAAACCAGGCGAGCTCGGTGCATGTGTTTTGGGCCATAGCAGAGGTAAAGATGCATGACACAGAGTTATGTGTTATAGCAGTAACTGAAGTGAAATAGGTGACTCGGGGTCACTATGGCCGGAGCCGAAGTGAAGCATGTGACACTGGGTCACTGTGGCCTGAGCCGAAGTAAAAAGTGTGACGCTGGGTCACTATGGCCGAAGCCGAAGTAAAATATGATGACCGGAGTCATAGCGGCCGAGCCGAGGCATTATGACCTAGAGCCAGGAAACTGAGGTGACGACCTGAAACCAGGAAGCTCAGGAGTGACGACCTATGTAGGGTCGTAGCTGTAATTCTTTGCGGGAGCCCACTCATGTAAGGTCTCAGCCCGTCGTTCTTCATTGGATGTTATCAGCTCGCCATCCTTTGTGTGGAGTTTTGTGGGTTCATCGTTCATGACCGGCCTCGCGGACGGCCAATCTAGGCAGCGTGAAACCACCTACGGGGCAGGTGCGAGCAAGTGGGTGGTCCGGCAAGGCGAGCTCAGCCTGATTAGCGAGCTGAGCAAATGTGCGGACGATCTCGCCTGAGTGAGCTAGCGTATAGTGAACGAGCTGAAGAAGCTGGCTCGTACGGGTTGATATGGGTGATCTGATTTGTAACGATTTGATCTGTAACGATCTGATCGAGTTTGACATCTCTGGATAGATCGTGTGCCAGCTACGAGCAGGTTTCTCAAACTGTTCAAATTTTGTTACGAGCTGGTCGAAAATCTCTGGAGAGATCCTGAATTAATTACGAGCTGGTCGAAATATCTGGAAAGATCACGAGTCAGTTACGAGCTGATTTCTTGACCTTTCCAAATTTTGACTTAGGACAGATCTCTGAGGGAATTGTGTTACGAGCTGGTCCTTGCCACTTTTTAAATTTTAAACCTGCGAAATCTCTAAAGAGATTTGGTTCAGAGCGGTTAGTATTCTCAATCCTCCCCTAATAAATGCTGGCTCATCGTTTGAAGAGACGTGACAGCTAAAGCCGGCGGACGTTACACGCCCAGCAATAAGTGCTTGCCACGCGTAACGTTTTGACTTACTGGCAGAGAGGCGCGTACGGTAGTGCTAGGCACGGTCACGTAACCTCTCTATTACCTTTGTTTCCATTTTCCAGTTCCATATTCTCTGTATTCTTCTACAACAAAGGACCTTCACAGTTTTCAGGCGATCTTCTCAAGGAGTTTCAGTACCAATTTTTCAGGTAATAACAAATGGAATTTGTTAGTGGAGTAGGAGAACTCCGGGGTAACCAGGGCATGGAAGGGGAAGAGAATGTGATAGCCGTAGAACCCATTACCATGATTGTACCACCGGAACTGCAAGACGTGCCGGAAACCCCTACGGCGGAGAGCAGTGCCAGTTCAGGCGCGCATGAGGATTCCGGTGCTAACCCCTCTCCATCATCTGAAGGGTCGTCGTCAGAAAACACTGCTAGTGCAAGTAGCCCCTCGCCGGAAAGTATGGAAGTGGCCGTAAATGTACCTCCGGTTGCAGGCTGGGAAAACAAAACCATAGGTGGTAGGTTGAGCAACCTCCGCAAGGCGCCGAATACATTGACGGCTGGGTTTCGGTTTCGGGCGAACCTGCATCATGAGGTAGCAGATTGTTTTACCTCCATTAAAGGGTACAAGAGACTGGAGGAAGTGGTGAGACAATACCACGTTCCTAGGACAGTTTTGTTACGAACAGGGACCAAAAATGAAAGGGCCTGCAGTGTGTCAGCAATAGGGTGGATACCTATATATGTGGACCATTTCGACGCCGGCCTGAGGTTTCCTTTATCCGGGCTGATTTTTGACATTCTGTCAAAGTACGAGCTGGCGCTCACACAGTTGACTCCCAACAGTATAAAATTCATCGTAGGGTTTATGTTGCTGTGTGCACGGCTGGAGATACCTGCGAAGGCCATTGTTTTCAGGTCGCTATTTTTGTGCCGGCTGAGCAGTGCACAGACGAGGTGGTACTACATTTCTGGGTGAGAGAAAATGGCCGTCTTCAAGAACATAAGGAATAAGGTGTCTCGTTGGAAGAGACAGTTTATCTTTGTCCGGGATACGCGAGCAGAGAGGGTTAGCACCGATCTGGCAGCTCGTCTATCTGAGTGGCGCCCCGGGCATGCGTACATGAACTACCCCACACTAACCCCGGGCGACCTGGAGCTTAGGGATAGGATCACTAATTATGTGAAGGGAGGGGGGTTAGTTGATTTGGAAGCCCTGGTTACCCCTGAGGTGCTCGCTTTGCGTGGGTTTGTGGATATCACAAACCTGTTTAGTGAAGGTATAACTCTATTGTCAATTACTTTTTTCACGAGCTGAGTCTTATTGCACGTGTTTGTGCAGGAGAGATGAGTAGCATGCTTGAGAGACAACGGGAGTGAGCTCAGCGCTCTCGTGGCAGGGGAATTGGGTCTAGCGCGAGGAGGCAAACGCGCTTTGATGAGCTACCACCTGCAGCACCTCGCAGCTCGTCGCAGAGGGAACAGGGTACCAGCTCGGCCTCGCGGCCACAGACTGAGCGCAGGGTAGAACCCACACCTGCTGACGTACGGAGGCGTGCTCGCGACGAGTCCGATAATGAAGATGACGTACCATTAATTCGGCGCAGGTTGGATTCCGGGAGACAACCTGGTGTGGTGCGTTCACCTGAGGCGCCTGTGGTCCAGCCGCGTAGCGCGGCTGAGGCGCTTCCACCACCAGTAGCTAGCGGTGGGCCCAGGATCGCATACCCTGACGGTTTTAGCTACACTAAACCTGACTATCAGCTTGCTATGGTCTAGGGTATGCAAAATTTCGTCCCGCCTGTGGACCGTCACCGTGCTAAAGGCTACATGCAGCAGCACGGGACTCACGCTGCAATGCTGAAGATGATGGATGTGAGTATTGTGCTTGACAAACATTTTTTGTTGTAAGTTTAGGGTAAAAACTGATTGTAGACATGTTGCAGGCGCTAAGCTATTCTGTAGCTCTGTTCGAGAGCGAGCAGGCAGCTCGAATACAGAATAGGGAGCTAGCTGACACTTGCAAGCGGTTGTCCTTAGACAAGGCGAGCTTGGAGGATGAGGTGAACCGTTTGCAAAGCTCAGAGATGGCCAACAGGGCTGCATCAGCCGAAAGCCGGGCTGACGAGCTGGCCAACAAGGTCATCCAGCTGTAGGAGGAGCTGGATAAGGTGAAAGCTGAGAAGGAGAGTGGGATTCAAGCGGCCATGGATGAGGTCGTTCGCGCAGTGGATCTTAGGAAGAAAGTAGAGGCTGAGAGAGATGGCGCGCTGAACGACCTCAACGCCCTAAGAGGGCGGGTTGTTGTGGCCGACCAGGATCTTGCCCGCGCAGAGGAATCCCTGAGGCAGGCCAAGGCTCAACACCAGCGTTGTATAAGCATCGCGCGAGCTCAAGGCGCGGAATGGCTGGTTGGTGCTGACATGTTCCAAGACGCCGTAGCTGTGGCATCCATGAACACCACGACTGAGATTTACAATGACGTTCGTGGTAAGGTGTTGAAGCACCGGCCGGACTTCCCAATCAACGAGCTCGCGTTTTTTGATGGTGAAGAGTTTGATGCGGAAGGGAAAAGCCTTGTTGAACCTTCTGACACGACGGTGAGGCTCCGCTAGGAGCTGAACGAGGAGGGATTGCCAACATGGCCACCGTTTGTCCTTGAGGAAGGAGAGGAGTATGAGAATCTGCCGAGGTTCGACACCTGGGCTGGTGATGCTCCTGTAGAAGAAGCTGAACCCTCTAGTACTCCTCCTGCTCCTCAGCCCGCCCCTGCTGCCATCTCAATCCCAGCTCGTGCTGACGCGTCCGCTCCCGTGGATTTAACGGACGATTAGACTTAGGCTTTTTCTGTTTCTTATACTTTTGCATTTTCACCATTTGCTTGTTGGCAACATATTTTGTAGTCTCATGGACACCTCATGTATTGAATTTGCAAAGAATACAATTGAAACGAATTTTGGAAAACTGTGTGTACTATTTCCAGTAATTGCTCATACATTATTGAAATTTTCTACAATAATATAAATCAACTATAAAATTTTCTAAGGTTCTGAACGTTCCATCTGAACGGTAACTGACGCCCGTTCAGATCTGCCAATACGTAAGATCCAGGTCGGTTAACTTGAGCAACCATGTATGGACCTTCCCAATTAGGGGCAAGCTTGCCCATATGGGAATATGTGTTAGTTAACCCAGCCTTTCGTAATACTAGATCGCCAACCTGAAACTGACGAACTCGGACTCTTTTATTGTAGAATCTTGCTACACTACCTTGGTGTGCCATGTTTCTAATTCGAGCCATTTCCCTGACTTCCTCCACTAGGTCTAGGTTCTCTCTTAAGAGTTGCCCATTAATTTGATCGTCATGACGATCTGACCTAGCAGATGATAGCCCGACCTCAACAGGGATGACGGCTTCAGCTCCGTATGCCAGGTTGAACGGGGTTTCTCCCGTGGCCGAGCTGGGTGTCGTGCAACATGACCAAAGTACTTTATTGAGCTTGTCAACCCAGTTAGAACGTGCGGATATAACACGTGTCCTGAGGCCTCGCAAAACGATCTTATTGGCAGACTCGGCCTATCCATTTGACTGCGGGGTGTATACCGACGTCAAGGAGAGCTCAATGCCATAGTCTTTGCAGAACGACCTCAGTGCTGCTGCTAAGAACTGTGGCCCATTATCGGCGATAATTCGCTTAGGTATGCCGAACCTGCACACAGATGACCGAGCTGAGCAAGGAACTGCGTTTGCATATAATTTACTTACGACTTAAGCGACGGAAGAATACCTGCACAATATTGAATTGAACAAGAATTCTTCTATTTTCCTTTCCGTTGTCGTGGACAATGGTTTGGCTTCTATCCATTTAGTGAAGTAATCCACTGCAACGACCAGGAAGGTGCATCCTCCTTTGCCTTTGATGAAAGGGCCGAGTAGGTCGACACCCCATTGAGCGAAGGGCCAAGGAGATGTAAGAGATGATAGCATTTCCCCTGTTTTCACAAAGGTACTTATGCTTAGCATATAGTCAAACACAAAGTTTGCATGAACTTTAGAACGAGCTGAGATACCTGGCATGTGAATATCATCAGCATTGAACTGGCAGGTCGGACACTTTTTAACATAGCTCTGCGCGTCCTCCACCATGGTTGGCCAGTAATATCTGTGCCTCAAGAGCTTCCGAGCTAGGGTCCTACCGCCTACGTGTGTGCCACATACTCCTTCATGAACTTCCCTTACGGCGTATTCGGCTTCATAAGGAGTAAGGCAGCGTAGTAGGGGCATTGAGGCTGCCCGTTTATAGAGCTGGTTATTTAACAACGTGAAATGTGCCACCCTGCGTTTAACCAATTTTGCAGTGGCCTGGTCTTCCGGTAGCTCACCACTCTGCAGATAATTTATGAGCGGGGTGGTCCAGCTCGGTGCAGAGGGGTCTGTGCTCAGCAGCTGACATTCGATTGTGGAATCGGTATAGCTCGGGGCGTCGAGTATCTCGACAATTGTCGACCTCTGAGGGTTAAGGTCTTGCGAGGAAGCCAGCTTTGACAGCTCGTCAGCTCGGTGGTTATCCGCTCTTAGTATTTTATCAATTTGGAAGAGAACAAATGCCGATTTCAATCTGTTGACCACAGAGGCATAACGACCGAGCTGAGGATCCCTGATGTCACAACTACCATTTACCTGGCCCACAACGAGCTGAGAGTCGCTGAAGACCTGAATGTTTTTTACTTTCAGCTCGGACGCCAACTTCAGTCCATAGATAAGGGCTTCATATTCTGCAGCGTTGTTGGTCGTCTAATACTTAAACCTTAGTGCGTGTTCGGACCTAAAGCTATTAGGACCCAATAACACCGCTCCAGCTCCCGATCCTTCAACATTAGCAGCCCCATCTACATATAAAACCCACACTGGGTGTTCAGGTGCCTTTTCTCTTAAAGCTGCCAGGGCACATTCGACCAAGAAGTCTGCTACAGCTTGGCCTTTTATAGCTGTGCGCGGCTGAAATTTGAGGTCGTACTCACTCAACTTGATACTCCATCTGATGAGCCGACCAGAGAGTTCTGGCTTCTGCAATATTCTTCTTAACGGGAAATCAGTATAGACGACAATCTGATGATATTGAAAATAAGCCCTCAGCTTACGAGCTGTGCAGACTAAAGCAAAAGCAGCCTTTTCCGTTAGTGGGTAGTTCTGCTCGGCACCTTGTAACACCTTGCTCACATAACAGATAGGCTTCTGATTCTTATTCTCTTCCCTCAGTAGCACTTAACTCACTGCTTCTTCGGTGACTCCCAGATAAAGATACAAACACTCCCCATCGACAGACTTGGACAGCAGGGGTGCGGATGCTAAGTACTATTTGAGCTCGTCAAACGCCTGCTGACATTCAGCAGTCCAGTGAAAGTTCTTAGGTTCCCGCAGGGCATTGAAGAACGGAAGGCACTTTTCTGCCGATCTGGCAATAAACCTGTGCAACGCAGCTACCCGACCTGTCAGACGTTGTACATCTTTTATGGTCTTGGGTGGCTCCATCTGCTGAACGGCCTGGACCTTCTCTGGATTTACTTCAATTCCTTTCTTGGATACCACGTATCCTAGGAATTTCCCTGATTCCACAGCAAACGTGCATTTCAAAGGGTTCAGCTTCATTTGAGCTCGGCGCAGGTTTTGAAAAGTTTCATCCAGGTCGCCTATGTGATCCTCAGCTCGTATACTGGTGACTATCATGTCATCCACATACACTTCTATGTTTCTGCCGATCTGGAGCTTAAAGATGATTTGCACCAGCTTCTGGTATGTCGCTCCAGCATTTTTGAGGCCGAACGGCATCATGACATAGCAGTAGATTGCATTCCTAGCGTAAAAAGCAGTCTTCTCCTGGTCGTTCAACTGCAATTGAACCTGGTGATAGCCAGAGCTGGCGTCAAGAAAACTCATCCGTTCATGCCCAGCTGCCCGCTCCACTAACTTCTCCACATTTGGCAAGGGGTGAGGGTCTTTTGGACATGCGTCATTGAGGTTGGTAAAGTCGATACACATCCTCCACTTGCCATTTGTCTTTTTGACGAGCATGGGATTGGATACCCACTCTGAGTACTCCACTCTCCTGATGAAGCCTGCTTGTAGCAGCTTCCGTATCTCCTCGTCTATGGCAGCTTGTTTCTCCGGGCCAAAAAGGCGACGCTTCTGCACCACCGGCCTTCTGGTGGGGTCCGTGCTGAGTTTGTGGGCTGTAAGCTCCGCTGGGATGCCAGGCATTTCGTCAGTAATCCACGCAAACACATCTTGATTGACCCTCAAAAATTCCAGGAGCTCTGCTCGTTCTTCTTTTGTGAGCTTGGTGCCGATCTTGACTGTTCTTTCCGGCACGTCAGGGTTTAAAGGAATGGTTTCGACTGGCTCTACCAGCTCTGCTTTCTGCTCGACCCCCTCGGGTCTATGCTCAATGTCCGATATGCTCATTGTCTGCTGACTGGGCTGAGTCGGTTTACTATTTTCAGAGCCTCTCGGGGCTACGGCGAGCTCCACCTTCTTAAATGTGTCTTGATAACATGCTCTGGCCATCTTTTGATTTCCTTTGAGCACTCCTACCCCCTGAGGGGTTGGGAATTTCATGCAAAGATGAGGTTGTGATATGACAGCCTTCAGCTCGCAGAGAGTGGCTCTTCCCAATATAGCGTTGAAAGCTGACTCCATCTTGACGACCAGGAAAGTGACAGAAGCCATCCTGAATCTTGGTTCCGAGCCCACATAGATGGGAAGGGTAATTACTCCCTCAACCAGCACGGGCTGATTGTTAAACCCATATTTAGGCCCTTCGTGCTTTTGCAGCAAGCTGGGATTTAGCTGCATTTTCTGGAAGCAACTCCAGTACAGGATATCTGGTGAGCTACCCGTATCAATGAAGACCTTATTGACGTTATGGTTGCCTATATGAACCGTTGCCACGAAAGGATCTGCATGTGGCATCATGACGTCGGGCTTTTCATCTGCTCGCTTGTAATCTGCCGGGTTGAATGTAATGGGCGTGTTCTCCCACTCTGCCTCCTCGAACGGTCACTTCAGAGGCCTGTTTTTGTTAACCGTCATCACCTGTCGGGCGTATGCCTGGCGTGCTCGAGCACTTTGGCCCCCTGAATGCATACCGCCAGAGATCATATTAATTGTACCAGACGGCGGAGGTATTGCGGTGCACCCAACTCCTCTTCTGTCTTTTTGGCTCTGGGCGGCAGGTCTCTGACCCTGGCTTTGCCTATTGAATTGGCGACCTCTGTATGCTCTGCTTGGCTCGAAAAGGTATTGATTATCTTGATACATGTCCTGCGTGTTGCCGAGCCGGTACCTCTGCCCCTGAGGTCGGTCGTACCCCTGCACGAAGTGGGTTTGAGCTGTTTGCTGGGTGTGAGGCTTTTGGACATACCCCTCTAATTTCCCCGTGCGAGCTAAGAACTCCAGCTCGTCCTTTAAGTGCTGGCAGTCTTCCGTGTTGTGACCGTATACACGATGATAGTCACAATGCTTGCTCTTGTCTGCCCTCGGAGAATCATGCAACGGGGGTGGGGGCCTTCTAATCCAGTGTTGGATTTGTGCCAGAATTTGAGACCTTGGCAAGGTCAGAGGGACGTAGTTAGCATATTTTGGAAATTCAGCCGGCTTCCCCCACGGCTCATTAACTTTCTGCTTTTTCTTATCCTCTCTTCTTAGTAGCTGTTCCTGGCCTTTGCTTTGTTTATCATCAGCTCGCCGCTTCGACGACTGAAAGTCCTCTGACAGTATAAAGCTAGCTGACCTATCATTGACTTCGTTCCATGTCTTTGGTGGATTTTCCAGTAAGTCATCTAGGAACCTGCCACGTTTCAAGCCGTGCAACAGAGCAGACAAGCAGATGGTATCAGGGACGTTATCAATATCTAAAGTAGCCTTGTTGAATCGCTGCATGTAGTCCCTCAAAGATTCCCCCTCTTTCTGGTGAACTTGCATCAGCTCGGTCGTCGTGCGTTTAATCTCCCTTTGGCTCGCAAATTTGTTGGAGAACAGCTTGGCGAGCTGGGAGTATGAATCTATAGAGTGTCTGGGGAGTTTGTGGTACCATCTTCTAGTTGTTGACTTCAGGGTTGCCGGGAACACTTTGCACATCATGGCGTCGTTAGCGTTTTGGATTCTCATGATGGCCTGATAGGTGTGTAAATGTTCGTCCGGGTCGCCCGAGCTGTCATACGTCTCCAAGTGGGGGATTTTGAATCCCTCTTGATACGGCTTCGCTGTGATGGATAAGTTTAGTGGGGCACTATCTAAATCCAGAGTCTGTTGATGCGACCTGGGACTTTTCAGCTCGTCAATAGACTTTTGCACGTCCTGTAGCTGTCTCTCAAGGTCCGCGTTCTTTCTCATCAGTTCTTCACTGTGTTTGGACGAGCTGGGCTCGATATTCAGTTTCCCACTTCCCCTGGGCCTGGTCGGTACTACTATGTTGCTTAGAGCGGGGGAGTTTCGAGTTGCAACAACCGCAGCCGGTTGTGCATCCCTGTTCAACAAAGGAATCAGGGGGTCGTCAGGAATTAGGCGGGCAAGGATTTTTCCCATTGCCATTTCGAGGACTCTGGTTCTCTCTTCGAGCTCGGTTGTCCGAGCAGGCTCTGTTGACCTTTCAGGTCGTTCATGCTGTGAATAGTGTGGTCTGGAAGGTCTTTGTCTTGTTCCTGTTGGAACTTGGAACTGTTCAGGCTGGGTTGCATACCCGGTGGGTGTTCGTTCATCATCCGTTTCACTTAGGTGCTCATTTTCGGCTCCCCTGACGAAGAGGTTTCTTGGCATTGGCCTAAAGTCATTCAAACCGGGCTCAAATACCTGAGCGTCTTCCTGTTCGTCCGTCTCATTTCTTGGGGGGCGACCTCCTGTAAAGGTTCGAACCATTTTGTCTTTCAGCAGGCTAAGCTACACGACTTCTTGCTCAGTTCCCACAGACGGCACCAAATGTTTGGGCAGCTTCGCTATCCAACACTGTTGAAACTCTCAGCTGCTTCCACACCTGAAAATCCTGAGGTTGTTTCCTCGGGAAAAACACTCCAACGCTCAAGTCAGCAATACTCGATATTCTAGAGAGAGAAACTCTCAAGGAGTAATTGCAGAGAGAGAAGCGTAGAGATTAATTACTTTCTTCGGAGGTGATTGGGGAGTATTTATAGCTTCAAGTGCTGACATGTATCTGCACATGTAAGCCTCTCTTTGGCCCACGTGGTGCTGCCCACGTGGGCATGTCTCCTTCTCTTGGGCCTGTGGGTGCGTAATTGAGCCTGCTGCCTGTGACCTTAAGAGGGCGTTGGGCCTAATCCCAACAACTACCTTGCAATGTTACATGATTCACTTATGGTACAACCAAGTCAAACTGACGTTGTTGACCAGGTAAATAATACCGTATGGTACAATCATTTCAAAAATCTAGTTTGGAGGATATGTAGCGTAGCCTACCCCAAAAAGGTTGTAAGAAAATTAAGAAAGAGAAATCTATTCGATGAATATTATCTTTTACTAATGGCAAAACCCAGATCATGCAGCCGCTGCAGCCGCTTCTCTTTCATATTTTAGTGGCAATATTATCTCCGATTCTCAATTGTTAAAATTTTAAAATTTTATGTTAAAAATCTTAAATTTAAATATTTAGTAGGATGAAAAAAATATTTAAGAAAATAAAAAAATTATCTCTCTTGTATAACTTATTATTATTAGATACACAAAAAAAATGACAATACTAACTTATTAGATCTCAAGCCGTGTTTGTTTGTATTTTTTAAAATATTTTTTATTAATTATAAATTTTTATAATAATAATTAACTATAAAATGACAATACTAACTTATTAGATCTCAAGCCGTGTTTGTTTGTATTTTTTAAAATATTTTTTATTAATTATAAATTTTTATAATAATAATTAACTATAAATATATTTTAAAGTATATTTTGGATAATTAATAATTTTAAATGTATTAATTCATAAAAAAAATTGTGAATGGTAGATATAAAAAATGAAGATTTAATTTAAGCATATAAAGCTAATCAATTTAATTTTAAAAAAGAAAGATAAAATTTCAAAACCTATCTATCTTTTTTTTCTCTTTACATTACCCTTTTTATCTCAAACTAACCGTAGTTTTAAAATAAATATTCAAAACTCCAGACTTAAGTAATTTATAAACCACTTAGTTTTATTTTAAAAACCAAAATAAAAAACTCAAAGTGACAACTATACTAAACAAAGTCTAAAATAATTTAATTTAAAAATAATCCAAATTATTAATTAAATAATAAAATTCAACTTATAAAATTAAGTTTGAATTAGTTCTTATTACGTAAAAATATATATATATATATTAAGGGTAAGTTCCCTTATTAGTTCCAAACTAATAAACCTAGAGGATGACCTCAATATTACTGTAACTTTTTTTTTTTGTTGGCGAATTATATAATAGCTAATAGCCAAAAAATAATAAAATTAATGTGCTCTGAATTAGCTATGACATAAGAAACTCTCTTTCTGCAGGTAACTTTCTTTATTTCAACCACACTTCTTCGATTTCTTCACGCTCAATCTTCTTGTTCTCAGTTCTAGCAGCTTTTGTGTCCCAAACGTAGCCCGAAAACAGAAAGCCGTCCGTCAATATTTTCTCTTCGTCTTCGGAGCATTGTTCCTTTACTTATTTGGTTGACATCCTTTAGGTGATCCTGCTACTTCTGAAGTTGTACTCATATTTGTGTTCACTTCTTCACCAGTATTCTCGGAGACATTGTCGTCATCCTTACCATCAAAACACTATAAAAAAGAAAGGTATTAATTGAAAAAAATTCTGAAAATGAAATAATATCTTCACTAATTTTCAGAAGTATGAAGCTGCAAGAAATCCTGTTGATAATAGAGAATGAAACAGTTTATAATAAACTAATCATATGACTTCCACCATATGATATAGATGCTTTTCCACCATGACCTTAGATGTTCTAATACTAAATACTAACTACACTCACAACTTTCAAGCACAAAAAACCCAAAACAACGTCAGAATTCGGTGACTCAAAGCGGGATTTTAACCTACTCATATAACATGCTAGAAAGTATGTTAATAAAATAGACTTGCATTAGTTAATTCATACCTTCTTAGAGGGATATATCCCCTACATATAAACGTAAGCAAAAATTGGTGGAATAGGAAGGGTGAACAAATATATATATATATATATTGGTAGTGTAAAATAAGAAAAATTTAATTTTAAATGAATAAAACATTAAATTCTATTTAAAATTGAATTGTAGTAGTTATTATTCTATAATTAAGTGTGAGTCCTAAAAAATATGTGGCATATTACTTGTGGAACCCACACCCTAATATTAATTGAGGTTTATATAATAGTCCAATGGGTTTTTATATAATTATAATATCTACTTATATTTTAATGGTCCTAATATTCTATAATTGTGGGACTGACAATCTTAGTACTATATAATTATAAATATTTATAAACTGAGTGTAGTATTTTAGATGTATTTTCTATTATTAATATTATCAATAAATTTATGTTCAAATGGTTCTTGCTCAAAGTATTTAAAATTTTTTTCCTATTATATTAGGTATTTATTTATTGAGCATTTTTTAAAGTCTAATGGGTAGAATATTTTGAAAATTTTAAGTTCACCACATATTTATTGGGAGTTATTTTAAAGTTTAATGAATATTTTTTTAAAGTTCACTGAGTATTTATTTAAAAAAATTTTAAAAAAATTATTATTACAGTAGTTTTATATATAATTAAGACACCATTTCATAGAACACATTGTATATTTTGAACTGATTTCTACACAGACATGGCCTGTTTTCTGCAGTCTGGAATCTGTCACAAAGAAATTCTACTGAGCTACCATTTCATTAGTTCCATATCTCATTGTACATCATATACTTTAACGCTAATTAATATGTATTTCAAGACAGCAAGACAGTTAATGACAATTAAAGCAAGAACAGTGTCATTGTTTATTACACAACAGGATACAAGAAATTAAACTGCATGTAACAGAGTTACTCATCAAGCAAACAGTCACATAAGATGAAATTATTAGAAACGACTTTGCAAAATGCAATATAACAGAGTATTGATTATACAAAGCATTAATCAAAGTTCAAGTGGGCTGATGTCTGACGAAATGAAGGTAATAATATCATCACAAATCAAACCGCATGAGATGAATCTCATTTGCTTTTTCTTCCCTGCTCAGCTCAAGAGATTTTGTTTTGACATTGTAAGAACTCCTACAAGGATCACAAGGTTATAAAAGCAATTAATTATATCAACATCAATGACATGATCCCAAAAATTGATTTTAGGTCTTTTATGATTTATGTGTACGTAATATAAGAGCAAACAAAAGATCAATAGCCAAGGAGCAGCACTACGGAATAGGCAGGAGATGCGACAAATCAAGCAGAGTAACTAGTGGAAAAATGAGCTAAAGATGATTTGTGGTAAGAAAACTTACTTGTGAAGACTAGATTATTCATCTCCAGTTTCAGAAGTGTCTGTTAAGTGCTTTAAAATGTGAGTAAAATCCTTTTCTAGATCCAGGAATGGAAGGAGGATCTCCTTAGTGGAAGGATTGTCCCACACCAGTGATTCCCAGAATTCTTTTGACTTTGTGTAGATTTTTCTGAGGGAGGGAGGAGAACAGAGCACTCCATCGGGAAGCAGGGGCAGATGTAGAGGGATCCTCTGTAGCTTTGGACATTCAACTATTCCAATAACTTCTAGAGAATCACACACCATTACTCCTCTTGCAGTACAAATGCTCTTCAAATTTGATAAGCCCACCAACAACAATTCCTTCAATTTGGGAAGAATGAAAGTAATAGTTTCATTTTCTCCATCAGACATGAGAGTTTCTTTCTCTTCTTCCACTTCTATTATTTCCTCCATTTTTGCGCAGCCATTGACAAAAATCCCCTCCAAGTTCAGGAGACCCTTCAACAACTCAGATGGAAACAGCTTCTTGATTCTTGGACATTTGTATATTGACAACTTCTTAAGATTGAAAAAGACAGAAAGCTGTGTTGGTGCACACGATGTAGATGGAGCTGATGCTGCTTGCCCTTTCACTTTCACAAGTTCACGCAAGTTAGGCAATTTAACAAGACCTAGAATTGAAAGCCTGTCAAAGGGACTGCACTCTGAGGACAATGAGAACATCTCAAGCATGCACCCCAACTTGTCAAATTGCCTGATCTGACATGATCTTAAATCTGATAATGCCTTAAATTTAAAAGCATCGTTTAAGCTTTTCAAGCCACAGCACTCAGTAATCCTCAAAAGCTGCAGGTCATCCGGAAGCAATACGGGATGAAATTCATTGATTTCCATTCCACGTAAAGTTAACATCTTAGTGCAATCATCATCATCGAATTCAGAATTAGGATCAAAAACAGCATCGGAAGAATCATCATCATTGTCATCAGTTGCTTCCACACTAAGCTCATAGCTAGTAAGCTTTTGACCTTGAAAAGACTTGACAAAATTGTTGAAGTCTTTTAGGTCATCAAATCCCTTGCGAAGTGAATGATCATAGCATGGCTTTAAGAAGGGAAGGAAGATATCCTTAGCTGAAGGATTGTCCCATAACAAAGATTCCCACCATTCTTTAAAATCTATGCAGATTTCTTGAAGTCGAGAAGGCAGAGGGAGCTCACCATTGGGAAGCAGAGGCAGAGATAAAGGGAACCTATTTAGCATAGGACAGTCATATATTTCAATACTTTGAAGAGAATCACAAACCATTACTCCTCTTGTAGTAAAGATGCTCTTCAATTTTGGTAATTCCATTAATCTCAACTTTCTTAAATTTGGAAGATCTAATCTGATGGTTTCATTGTTTGCCACTGTTGTGATAGTTTCTTTTTCGTCGTCCACTTCTATTATTTCCTCCACCCTTTGGCAATCTTCAACATCAATCTCCTCCAAGTTTGGGAGACCTTGCAGCAGTTCAAATGGAAACAGCTTCTTGATTCTTGGACAGCTTCTTATTTTAAAAAATTTAAGGTTGGAAAATAGGGAAGAAGGTGTTGGTCTTGGTGCCCGTGATGTCGAGGGAGCCGATGCTGCTTGAGCTTCCACT